CTAGGAAGGGAGAATGTCAAATCACACCCAGCTGAGAACTGCTCTATTCCCATGTAAACATTGTTCCCACCACCTAAATAATTTCTCCCATCTCTGCAGAAAACTCCTAATCTCTCTTCAAGGTCCATCTTACATGCTATCTCCAGTGCGAACTTCAAGTCAAAGTTAGCAATCCGTTCCTCTCATACCACCTGCCTTCTTGTTTTTCTATTTGATTACATAAGAATATACATATGTTCTGTTTTCCTGTCTGGACAACAAGAACCTCCATCTTATTTATTCACTATAGTTTATTTATTTCAGGTGTTCAGTAAAGGTTTATTAATAAGTGATTATGAGCCTTCTTTTATAAAGCATCCCTGAGATAACCCTTCCACTGTCAAGGGAAAATTTGGTTCACTGAATGAGGTCTCACACCAAGCAATAAATAATTCTCCAGCTTTTTCGTTTCATTTTGTTTTGTCTTTGCCCCTGGGAAATGGAAATTAAAAGATATACTCAATTTTAGTAAACCAAGGTCCTAGAAATATCTACTTCTCTGATATTTTTATTTGATCTTTGTGTAGATTTATCTTTGCATCACCTGTTAGGCAACATGTTTTGCCATCAGAAGTTTTGTCAAATTTGTTTTTGGAATGTGAACAGTAAAACTTGGAAACAAAGAAATATAAACCAAGCAGGTAAATCTTAGAAACCAAACTGAGGAAAAACTTAGAAACAGAAATGCAAACCAAAAATTCATACCATGAAGATCATATTTCAGGAATAAAAATGAGCCTAGCTGGTGTGGTTCAGTGGTTGAGTGTCAACCTATGAACCAGGAGGTCACAGTTCGATTCCTGGTCAGGGCACATGGCTGTGTTGTGAGCTCGATCCCCAGTAGGGACGTTCGGGAGGCAGCCAACCAATGATTTTCTCTCATCACTGATGTTTCTCTTTCTCTCTCTCTCTCTCTCTCTCTCTCTCTCTCTCTCTCTCTCTCTCTCTCTCTCTCTAGCTCCCTTTCTCCCTCCCTCTCTGAAATAAATAAAATTGTATGTTTAAAAAGCATAAAAATGAAAAAGAATATAATAATGTTCACTAACACAAAAGAGTAATTTCCAACTTGATTTGATGTTAAGTCAGTATCTCTCTAGCTTTTTCAAGTGATGTCAAAATTTTCAAGGAAAAATTTAGAAAAATCTGGTTTAATTTTGTGTATATATGCATTATGCATCTAATTCTAGATGATATGTATAGGAGCCAAGACTTTTCTGGGAGAAAGCTGAATGAACCAGAAGCCTGGAAATATCAAACAACAAGACCAAAAACAAAAAAGAGAGTGTTACTCTCCAAAAAATCCTGAAAATCATTACAAGGAGAGTCCTCTAAAATATTCAGAGCCTCGGAGCTTGGTTCCCACATCAGCAGCTCTTGTAACATGAATTACCCACATCATTTCTTCAATCTTACTGTTGGTCTCTGTTGCCATAACTTAAAAAAGAAAAACTCAGCAATATAAACTTTAAAATATTAGTCCCAAATTTCTATGAACATGGATGGACCGTGAGAACGTCATGCTAAGTGAAATAATATGTGGGATATAAAACTGAAACTCATGATCACAAACAACAGTGTGGTGGTTGCCAGAGGGAAGGGGGTGGAGGGAGATGGGGTCCTAATATAAGGTAACAGGAGAAGATTTGACTTTGGGTGGTGGGCACATGGTGCAGTATACAGATCTTGTAACACAGAAACTCACACCTGAAACCTATATGTTCATGTTGACCAATGTCACCCCAATAAACTTAATAAATAAAATTTTTAAAAATTAATAATTTTAATCCACAGTTTTCTTACAAATAACTCAGGGTAAAAGATGTTTGATTTCGTGCCTGTGGTCAATTCATATGGCAAAGCAATTAATTCATCAAGAAAGTAACATGCACCTATACTGGACGGGAGAAACATCATAGAATAAATATGCAAATCCAATTTTCTCATGGCTGACAAATTCCTATTATCAAACTGCTAATGTGTTTATTTGCCCCGATATGGCTGGATTTTTGTCATGAATACACATTGAGCTCCGCAGTTCTTAGCTATGATGGCTAGGTGACAGGGAGGACACGACAGCAGAATTTGTACTTGACAGATCACTGACACACAGTCCCATTTCTCTTTTCTCCTTCTCTTCACTTAACAGGAATCATGCAGTAGGAAATAAACTGGAGCCATTAGCGATTATTCAGGTTTAATAGCACACATCCTTTTAGCTGGCGGTGAGAACAATACACAGTGTGGCAGAGTTAAACAGAGGCATCAATTATACTCTCAGACCTGTGAATATTTCTGACAATATTTAAATAGCACATCCCTGCAGGGCATGGCTTTCTTTGCCCTCTCAGTTACACACCTGCCAAGTGCTTAATTTGCCAAAGGGAAACAGTTTGATATCTAAGGGCAGTCTTAATACTGAAGAGCAAATTAGAAAAATTAAACATTATTGAATAGAAGTAATGAGGAGGATCTGAGGGGAAGAAATACTAGGCTTAATTCAACATGGCATGTCAGCATCTGTCGGTAAAGCAACAATACGATCATGTTCTCCAATATGCTGCATTTACCTTAAGCTTTTGAATTATTCACTTCCTTTGATTTTTGAAAAGACAGGAGAATTATGGTGAAGAAAAATCAGAGGGATCCAATATACCAATACTAAAAAAGATGGTGATAGTCACTTGCACCTATTGTGCATATAAAAAGATACCCCTGAAAAGATAATTTAGGACCAGCCTAAACAAAAGCTAGCCATTGATCAGATCTGTGTAGCTACTGATTTCAAAGCACAAAAAAACTTCATTCCTTTGATGCACTAATTAAACTACAAATATTAACAAATTACTAGTTGGAAAACTATATGGAAAATTTAAATCTAACATAAAGTTTAGAATATTTTTGTTTAAACTTTAAAACAAAAAATAATAGAAATTTTTGAAATGTTACTCTAGTCATACAAGAAAACAAAATCTGGTTCAATAAACAAATGAAGTTGAATTAGTAAAGAATGGAGACTAAAGTGACAATTCAAAACAACTGAGAACTTATCAGCGGTTTTAACAGAAGTTAAACTTTTATCAGCTAAGCACCTGCCTTTGGGGGAGAGTGGATGATGTGAGACAGGTTGCAGAGTTAAAAAAGGGTTATGAAAGGATGAATTCTAGTTCTAGTCTAATCTCTCTAAGCTGTTGTGATAAACAGGGTGTCGGCCACATGGTCCTCCTTGGCCCCTTACAGTACTTGGACAGGTGAACAAAGAGCCAAAAGTCCAAAGGCACATAAGACATGCCTATAGAATTCACCAACCTCACAGCTTACTTAGTTCTGAAATGTATCAGCATCTAGTACTGTGTGCCATACATTCCCAAGGAGGATGCAGCTGAATCATGTGGGGCCCATATCCTACTTCTACCTGGAAATGGTAAAACAAGCTCCACAACAAATAGGCCTCTTTTTCCCTCCCTTCCATAGCCCTGGTAAGTACAAACACTATTCCGCTTACATGAGATGACTAGAAGGGGTATTTTGACAGTTATCTCATTGGGCTTGTAGTATTTCCTGACATACTTACTAGTACTTTTTGTTTCAACTTTTCCTCTCATTCTAATCATACCTTCGTACTACAATAAAGGGAGAAGACATCTGCTCAACTTCACACACTCTGAATAATAACCAGGTAGTTTTCCACATCATAATCACACCTACATTCAGGATATTGGTTCTCCAAAACCTCGCCCATCCATTCTGAAAACGAGCACCTAAAACCAATCTTTACAATAACTTGCAAAGGGGACAAATACGACTGAGTATAACAAACACATACCTTCTTCTTAATTCATGATAATGACTTTAAAAATCACTACATAGAAACTCACTAGAGAAAAAGATTTTTAAATATTCTTCCTGATGTTTTGGCTACCAAAATATATAGATTAAGAACTTTCATGACATTAAACAAATTCCTTCTCTATCGCTACTATTGGTTCTTTTTGCATTTGGCACATTCTTTTTAGTTTTTTTGTGGGTTTTTTTTTTTCACTGGAGCTGAACTTTCACTGAATTATAAAACTAGTCTTCAAGTTTCATTTTTCACCTTTTAAGGCAGAATGATTGCTAGCAAGTCACCCATTACCATTAAAGTAATGTGAAAAATATTAGAATGGGAGTTAGCTTGGAATGGAGGCATTGACTGACTTTAAGCCTTGTGAGGATAATAACAATTTTAAAAATATATTCTTTAAACCCTGAGAAATGGCAATTAAAATAAGTAAATTCAAAGAACAGCTGACTTCAATTTTCATTCTGTCATTGTGATATGTTTCGGTTTTAATATAAATGCTAGGACTTTTTAATGCTCATAATTTTTACAGAAAAAAAATACTGTGTTGTTACATTTAGAAGTTCCAGTGTTTGTCACCATCTGATGCTGTCACGAAAGGAATTGCTACTTACACTTCTTTAAGAAGTGAGAACTGCAATTCCTCTAACTGATGACAATGTAATTATTCCTTTTACTGTCAAAATAGAGGTGATTTCCCTTCCTCACACACGATTACACATGCAAATCCAGGCTTATCTGAAATCTTGTGAGTGTACTGAATGTCTGAATCTGAAAGAGCAAGACCACAGGAACAATGAGCTGTGGTGATGATGGGAACCAAGTCTACAGCCATCCACCCTAAACATATTCTATTACCCCCTCCTCCTGTAGGGGCTCATTCTTTAGCATTCACACAGCTTTCAACACAATGTCATATCATCTACAGTATACAGCAACAGCCTTTACAAAAATAACTAGGGGGGGAAAGCCACAGTGAATCTGAGTGTCTCATTTGGAGGTTTAAATGACTTCATTAACTATTCATTAACACATACAAAAATCAGCTTTCCAGAACCACACAAGCCTTTCCTAAGATCTGTGCCATCCCGTGGACGCCTGCTTTGGGTGAAGGATGTCCTACCTGGTCTTTCAGCTGCTGTACAGAGGTCTGGAGGTTCAGAATCTGACTGAAGAGTGGGCTTTGCAAGACCGACTTCAGAAGGTTCAGCTTGTCTTCGTTTGCCACATCCCCACGCTCTCGCAACTTGGCTTGCAAGCGCTCTGCTGCCTGCAGGGCCCGGTTTTTGTCTACACCAAAGAGCAGCACCCGTCAATAACAGGATCAAAACACACGCGCACATCAACCCATGCTCACAGACATCCTAAAACTGTTCCTTTTGAGACCATAAAACTGACTCAGAAAAAAAAAGAGGGACTGAAATGTGTCACTATAAACATGTCCCTCAGACCTTGAGGTCTCTCCTAAGAGTCTGTTGGGAAGCAGGAGTTAGAGTATAGGCTACACGCAGCTAATTGTAAAGTACAGAAACTAATTCGGATAAAGTATATTTGAGTTCTAAAGCCAGCTATTTGAACTTTTTAATAAAAACTACTGAAGACTAAATGCTCTTGGATCTTGCAAATGCTGACATTTTCACCTTTAAAAATTTCATTTACACATAAGAAAAAACAGAAATATAACTAACTCACAAATAAATGAATGTGGATAATGTTATAACATCCAAAATATGACAATTTCATATCTTAAGAGCAAAGCTTTCTATACTTGAGAATTTACTTGAAAATATATCACAATAATGCATATCTCTTCAAAAGCACCACTTTTTAATACTTCAACTGTTTTTCCAAAAATTTAAATAGCAAATTTACATATGCATTATTGCATTATTATATATCCATTATCACCAGAAACACTTTTTATGTATAATATTAAAGGTGGAATTAAACAGAAATTGGAAATTAAAACACGAATTAATGTTGACTGTGAGTTTACAAACATATACAAATTTAAACAAACAATATTTACTCATATGCAGAATTTTAAAAGCAAATAATGATAAAAAGACACATGAGAACTTTATTCTGGGTCATATTTCCTATGGTATCTCTGAATAAAAATCTAGTACTAATTCCTCTGTCACTTCTTGGAAGGTGTGCAATTTAGTAACAACTTGCAGAATAAAAATTAGAAAGAAATAATTTAATTTAATTGCTCTCCACTTTCTTGTGAGGAGGTTTCCTGTGTGGAGAGCAGTCTTTATCATGTGGGACTTTAGTATCAAATGGGTGCATTTTCTTTTTTTATGATAAGGGGTGTGTATCGTGCACTGTGCTCCATGCATTTTCATTACTGGCACAGCACTAGGAACAAAAGTCACAGTAATGATTCCCATGATCAGAAAAACAGTTCCTTCTTTTTCTACCACCCACTCCCACCCTACCCCTCAACACACACAGCTGTCAGGACACCAGCAGCACTCATCAAGGTGCCAGACAGAAATCCAGATACCTTTCCACACTCACACTTGAGGGGTTCCCTGCAGTAGGGGCGGACTGTGGTGTCAGAGGAGGGACAACAGCAACTGGGTGTACCATACCTGACACACCCCAAAACTAGTTCCACAAACCAGCTTCTCTACAGCTAAACAACAGTATAAAAAAATTAACCCATGATCTGGGGAAATCTGAATATTTCAACTTAAATGATCTCATGTAGAAATTAAACTGCCTTCTATCATCACTGAAGCTTGTCAGCCTACGTTTTTGTTACTTATCTTTAGCAACTTAAAAGCAAGCACTCAGTAGTATTTTACCTGCTATAAAGTAAAAATATGGCATTGGAAATTATCTTTTTCAGTATTAAAAATACTGTTAAACTTTCTGGTGCTATTCAGAAATAAACATGAGCCAACATTAGGTTCATACATGAGAAGTGGGTTTACATTAAGCATAAAACCCATAATTAGTAAAACATCTCATGTGCTTTTAACTTTTGCTTATAAATGTTTTGTAACACTTCAGATAAAATTTTCCAAATATAGAAACACATTACCTACTATCATGCTAGAAGATAAAGACTTTTAAAAACTAAGTTACGAAAGATAGAATTCTGTTATATAGAATATACTGTTTTTCAAAGATCCTAGTGGAATGAGTTTCAATTTTTATAAAAATAGAAAGGAATAGATCTTACCTATCGTTTCTAACATTTTATTTTCGAAGTTCAGTGTTCTCTATACAGCAACCAAAACAGAACTCTAGGGAAAAAAGAAATAGAATGAAATGGTTATTTTTATCAGCAAATAGAACGGCCGGACAACTGAACAACCAAACAACCGGTCGCTATGACATTCACTGAACATCAGGGGGCGAGCGTGGAACATGGCGGGCATAGGCAGCAGGCAGCAGAGCATGGAACATGGCGGGCGTTGGCTGCGGCAGGATGGTGGAGCAGGTGAGCGGGGGCGCCAGACCACGGTAGGGTGCTGGTCACTGTCATTGGGGGTGAACCTCTGGTGGTTACTGAAAATTCTTTGCTCCCTCCTGTGTGCCACAGTCCCACCCGGCGCTTGCACCTGCTGCCGGCGCCGGCCCCGCTCGCACCCACTGCCGGCGCTGGAGCTGCCACTTGCAACTGCTGCCAGTGCCCGGTGCCGGTCCCGATCACTCAGCGCTGTCTGTGGGTGCGAGCGGTGGCTGCCAGCCCCAATCACCCCTGTGGGCTTCTCCACTTCTCCCTGCTCCTGAGGGGCAATCGGGGCAGCAGCAACCACTCACACCTGCTGACGGTGCTGGCCCCGCTCGCACCCACTGCTGGTGCCGGCCCCAATCGCCCTGCGCTGTAAGCAGGTGCAAGCGGGCTGGTGCTGTCAGCATGTAGGAGCGGCAGTGCAGGAGCAGGGCTGCCAGCAGAGATGGGACTGTGGGCCGTGGCAGGATGGGCCGAGACCCACCCCTGTGCCCACTGCAGCCTCGAGGCCCAAAGTTCCTCTCAAGGTGCACAAATTCGTGCAATGGGCCCCAAGTATATTATAAAAAGCACTTGATGCTATTGTAATTCCTTTGACCATTAAAATCTTGTTGACTTAAAAGACAATTTCCTAATAGGCCAAAAAAGTGATCATTTTAGGACTAATTCAAAATTATCTTTTATTTGCAGGTAATACTTGCAAAATAAGGCAAAATGTATGAAATATCTTTTAAAGAAGATGACAGACGTATCCAAATCTTTCCTTAAGATCTCTTCAACACAGCACACAAAAATCTTGGATTCCTTTAAAAATCCTTACCTACAGAGTAAGCTTACTAGACTCTGCATGAGAAATTCTGTGGGCAAAAAAATGACAACATAAAAAGTAGAGGTGACCCTGGCCTTGAATACTCAGTCTTAACTGGGGAGGCAAGTCCATATATCCCAAGTAGAAATGAACTGTGACACTCAAGCAGAATGTGAGTCACTGGAATATAATTACATGAAAGCAGAGATGAAAAACTGAGTACAAGAGTGTTAAATAAAAGAAGATTCTTCAAAGGTTTTCAAAATACCCTCCTGACTATAATATTCTCTTCCTTCTCATCAAAAACAATAAAAAAACTTCTCAACTCCTTCAATTAACACAGATCTCATCTTTCGGTGACAATGCTTATCTAGAAAGTTTTAAGTATGAATTCAGATCTCCACTGACAACGCCCACATCATCAACCCATCTTTAATCTTTGCTGTCCAACAATTTTGCACAATGTCTCCATAGATACAGGTACCCTCTGTCTTACAGGAAACTTAGTCAATAATTCCTTCAGTGGAGAAAATGAATCTCCCTGAGAAGGAACAAAAGTGTTATTTCTTTAAGAGAAAATGCATTTAGAAGGAATGGAAGTATGTGATGTATATGAACACACGCATAGACCATCAATGCCTGAAATTAGCTGTGTAATAACAGCAAACAGTACTTACTGACTTTCCTTACCTCAATTTAGAATATACTATTTAAAACATCAACTCCATTTCAAACAAATAGCTCAACCACTGGCACCTGTTTTAAAATGTGCCCTCACCCTGGCAGGTTTTCTAAGTGGTTAGAGCAGGGGTCCACAAACTTTTTAAACAGGGGGCCAGTTCACTGTCCCTCAGACCGTTGGAGGGCTGGACTATAGTTTAAAAAAAAACTATGAACAAATTACTATGCACACTGCACATATCTTATTTTGAAGGAAAAAACAAAACGGGAACAAATACAATATTTGTATTTGCATGTGGCCCGCAGGCCGTAGTTTGAGGACCCCTGGGTTAGAGTGTTGGCCTGCAGACTGAAGGGTCTCAGGTTCAATTCCTGGTCTAGGGCATGTACCTCAGTTGCAGGTTCAATCCCTGGCCCGTCAGAGCACGTGCAGGAGGCAACCAATCAATAATGTCCCTTTCTTTCTCTTTCTCTCTCTTCTCTTCTCTTCTCTTCTCTTCTCTTCTCTTCTCTTCTCTTCTCTTTTCTTTTCCCTCTCTCTCTCTCTCTCTCTCTCTCTCTCTCCAGCCGCCCCCCGCCCCCCCCCCCCCCACACACACACACTTCATCCTCCCTGCTTTTCATTTCATTTCACTTTCTCTGGAGATCAATGGAAAGATATCCTTGGGCAAGGACAAAAATAAATAAATAAATAAATAAATAAGTGCCACAACAAGAAGGCATTAGCTCCAGCCTGGAGTTGAATAGTGGTGTGGGCTTGCTCAAGAGGCCTAGCGTCCGAACCTCAGTTTCCTAGAAAACACATTTACTCATTGTGAGTAAATGAGATAAAATACACCAATTTCCAGATCACTACATAAAGTGTAACTATGAAATATATATTCAGGATCAATGCTGAGCCCATGTAGATGAGCAGTCCAATATCAGGCACTGATTGCCTGATTTCATGGGAAAATACAGCAAGATCTTAAAAATACACTAGTCATATTTTTTATTCTTACTGACAAGGAGACTATAACATTCCTTCATAAAATAGCATACAATTAGGTTCCCCACCCCTCAAAAAAGTTATTAATGTCTGACAATTAAAAAGTATAAGTACAGATACCCCAATATAAGAAGCCCACATAAGTATATTTAATTAACTCACCCATAGGAAGCATGGTAGCAATGAAAGAGCCTGGATTAGGGAGTCTGATGATTTCAGCCTGACCACTTACTGCATGTGCTTAAGTTGCTTATCTATCTTTTCTGAACTTGAAAATCTCTAATTCACATGAATGGTATTCATAAAGTTTGGAAAGGGTAAAATTATATACATAGGTGTTAATTTATTATTATATCTACATCTTGGTATACTCAATAAAATTTGGTTCTATTCTATTTCCCTTATAAAATATTAACTTCAGAAAGCTAGGCAGTATTGGCCTGAGGTGGAGGGGGAGGCACCCTATGAATTTAGAGGCCCACTGATGGAGAAGGAGTCTACAGAGAAAGAGAAGTCAGTTCCCAACTGAGAAAAACACTGCCATCCAAGAGTTCATCTAAAGTCAATTATGTGAAAAAAGAATTACTTCCTTTTTTCAGAAAAAAATTTATCATAGTTTCGTGGGTTTTTTTTTAAAGGCTCAAGCTGCAAGTCACTGATATTAGCGCTCAGATGAGAGCGCCACCCCTCTGGATTTCAGGGATAGAAAATTAATTTCAGCTTGTCCGATCTGTTCTGATGTCCCTAAAATAAATGTGTGACTTTTTTTTGGTGGTTTTCCAGATTTCACCATTATTAACCATGGTAGAGACAAGAGATTTTAAAAAACGTGTTCCTTTCTATGTCCTATATCCCTATCCCAAGGATTCAGTTCTAAGTATAAAGAAACTCATTTGTAATCACAGAATTTTTGAGATGCAGAGCTGGAGTCTACTCCCATCAAACTGTAGACACAACTCCTCCTTCTCACCCTTTCACCAGCCCCCTATCACCCTTCCCTCATTACCCATCTCAACACTATATGGAAGTAGAAGGGTGTCTGAGTGGTAACAGTGGGTCATAGTCAGAGGGTAAGACTTTAAAAAGATACAATACATGTCGGAAGAATGCCAAGTTCTGAGGGTTTTTTTCTTTAGGGCAATTCATGTGACCAGTGAGGATGATGAATCAGGGGCAGTAAAGAGAAGAAATGACATGTGGACACAATAACAAAGTAGTCAACACTAATGCTAAAGTAGAAGTAATAATAGCAGCAAACACAGCACCAACCACAAGCTGGGCCCTGTTCAAAGCGTATTACACAATTAAGTCCTTTAGCCCTCACCTCATCCACTCACTTGAGAAAACTGAAGCAGAGGAAGGTTAACTAACTTGCCCAAGGACATACTACTAGAAGTGATGGAGCCAGGATTTCAGCCCAGGCAATTTGGCCCCAGAGTTAATTAACAATTTAATTTCTCCAATATCTTGCCTCTTGATAGGAAGAAAATTCACCTTACCATTCTTATTCCTCTTTCCTAGCTAAATTTGAACTTCAGATACATTTAAAAAATTGCGGTATAAGTATATCCCATGCAATACTTGGGGCATATTTATACTAAACACTAAGTTGTTGATTATCTAAACTTCAAATTTAGCCCTAGCTGGTTTGGCTCAGTGGATAGAGCATTGGCCTGCAGACTGAAGGGTCCCAGATTCAATTCCAGTCAAGGGCACATGCCTGGGCTGCATGCAGGAGGCAGCTGATCAATGATTCTCTCTCATCATTGATGTTTCTAACTCTCTCTCTCTCCCCTTCTCCCCTTCTCTCTGAAATCAATTCTATACATATAAGAAGCCAGCGACCGGAACGCTGAAACAACTGAAACAACTGGTCACTATGATGCCCACTGAGGCCAGTGAACCCGCCCGATTGGGGGGCAGGGCTGGCCGTCCCACAAACTCTCCCCAAGGCCAGATCCACCCCCAATTGGCCCCATACCCCTATCGGGGGTGGGGCCCTCCGGCCAATAGTCCAAGGCCCCTTCCCCGAGCTGGCCCAGCCCGGATCAGGCCCTGATCAGGGCAGGCGGCCAGCCAACCTCCTGCCATCTCCTCCTCCCAACAGGCCTGGCCCTGATCCGCCCCGATTGGGGCCGGGCCCGCCGGACCCCACCCGTGCACGAATTCGTGCACTGGGCCTCTAGTAAAATATATTTAAAAATATATGTGGAATATAATGATCAATATAATTTGATGAACAAGAATAGATCCAGAGACAAATGGTGGGGGGAGGGGTGTTAGAGAGCAACCAAAGGACTTGTATGCATGC